AACAAGCAGGATATAAGCAGGAATAATCTGCCTTTCCAGCAGAGACAGACAGTGCGTAACAATTCAGTGAGGCGAGGCAATGTCAAGACAAAAGGGCAGACATGATACACTGGGATACTTTAAAAAGGTTTTATTACACCTTCTGTAACACCCCAGCTGTGTCTGGACCTATGGAGGTGGCTCCAGTTGCAGGTTAAGTAATAATTGCAATACAAATAAATGAATGCATTTAGATCTGGGAAGGTTGACACCAGTACAGCAGTGTGGTGGTACAGTGCTGAGAGGACAGGCTGGCAGCAGGGGAGCAGCACAGAACCAGACTAGTCAGGGTGTGGTGAGATAAAAGATGATTTAGGTTTCTGTGTGAAGACTGCAATTTACTTTCAAGTGATTCTGGCTTTTTTTTTTTTTTTTTTTTTTTTTTTTTTAATCTACACTCCCTCTAAAACTGGTTCAGCTGAATGGGCAAGTATGTGACTTTAATGAGATTCCTGAAGTCTTAGTAAGAGCTGTGGTTAAAGCCTGTCTGCCAGAAGCAGATGGATAGCAGGACGTTATGATACATCTCTTGATGCTGTCAGCAGCAGGTCCATGGCACAGAACCAGAGGGCAGGGATTCCCCTTGGAGCAGCACATGGAAAGCCTCCTTCCTGGGTGTGCTGGTTTTGGCTGGAGTAAAGTTAATTTTCGTCATAGTAGCTGGTATGGGGTTGTGTTTTGGATTTGTGCTGAAAACACTGTTGATAACTCCGGGGTATTTTGGTTATTGCTGAGCAGGGCTTGCACAGAGTCAAGGCCTTTCCTGCCTCTCACCCCACCCTGCCAGTGAGTGGGCTGGGGGAGCACAAGGAGCTGGGAATGAACACAGCTGGGACAGCTGATCCCAGCTGGCCAAGGGATACCCCAGCCCACATGAAGTTGTGCTCAGCAATACAAGCTGAGGCAAGGAGGAGGAGGTTAAACCATGATGCTGGGCAGTGCATCTCTACTGGCTCCTTAAGAGAGGAGACTACTTCAGTGAATATCCTTCACATCTTGAGAAGTGTCTTGTGTCAGAGAAAGCAGTAAGTGTTTCTGGATGCACTGGACATTGTGAGGCGTTAAAAGCAAGCATTGAACTCCAGTCAAGCTGCAAGAATAAACAGGAACTCAAGCTCTTGATCGTTACAGCTAGAGTGTATGTCCAGTTCTTCCCAGACCAGAAGAAATCAGACAAGTTCCAGGAATGAGGAATGCTGGAGTTACGTGGAAGTGATGTTTTCTTTCAACTCCTTACAGTACTCAGTAAAGATCTGTGTCACATTTGGGGACATCCTGAATTTTTAAGAAACAATAAGGGTAGGATAAGGAATTTGCATGAGTAACCCTCCCTTTCTCATTTATCAGGGCTGTCTTCCAGCACGGGTTCAACTCTTCACGGTCTGCCAAATCTTTGCAAATGATCTCATGGACGTGACCTCCCTTTCTTGGAGTCTTGCAGCTTCCCTCCAGCAAACATGGCAGGGACAGTGTTGGGAAAGCAGTGATAGCTCTCCAAATGCTTCACTGTGACTTTGGAAGCTGGATGTGTAAATTTATGCTTCATGCACAGTTGTCACCTCTGAAAAGTGAACAAAGGCAAACACAGGTACAAATTTCAGGCAGCCAGCCAACACAGGAGACAGTTGCCTAGGGCAGCAGACTATTGAATGCAGCAGAATGCCAAGGCTTACAAAGATGAAGGCTTGCTGCCACTGCTCTGCCCTCTTAGAAGCATTAGACCTTTAATCTAAGGGTTGAGATTCATGTCCTGTTTTCAGGCAACAGCTCTTTACTTGGCCCAGGTGATCCTTAGCGCTCTGGGTGCAAGCATCAGACCTGCAGTGCTCAAGCAGGTTCACTTCTGCTGTTTGAGTGATCCATGCCCACTGGAAGGGGTGGGATGGGACCTTTTTCCACAGAAGTAAGAGCAACCTGTGGTTTTGGAGTTCTTCCTCCTGCTGCTTCTTCCCCTAGCATAACAGGAGTGGTCTGAGTTGGTGTGAGTGGGCTGCTGCTGGTTTGAGGTGAAAGTGGGAGTCACTTGAGTGGGGAAGAATGGACAGGGATGATGGCCAAGAGGGGTGAGGAGTCTGCCTGCAGTGAGGTTGGGCTGTCCTACCTAATGCTTCGCTGTCTCAGTTCACCCCACCTCTGATCCTCACAAAATTTCACTGAAGTCTCCCACCCAGCCCTGCTTGAGCAAACAACCTCTCAAAGCTGTTTGAACCAGTCCTGCAGTTGGGCTTAAAAAATTACCTAAGCTTTTTATTTACAAAATCAAAACCTCGCATTCAGGATTTTGGTGGCAAGTAGAAACAGACACAAGAGGGGAAGACCATATTCTTCAGACCACCAGCCAAGTGCTTTTCAGCTTTTGGTGTGGAAGTTGCTGGGTGAGCCTAAATCCCTGCAGCAATGCCTCACCTGCTATTATCACTTTATCTGAAGTCATAAACACAGCCAGCGAAGAAATTATTTCCAGCACCTTAAAAATTATCACTTCCATAATTCACATATTAGCTCAATGGCAGTTGCTTTCACCAGCAGCAGATTTTAGGTAGAATTCAGAGTTTGAGACCTCTCCTGCTGAAGGAAGTCCTTTAGTTGCTACCTTTGACAGGATATTAGGCTGGCTGCATAAGCCATCTTATCCCATACAGCAATACTTATGTCTTGTGTTTCAAAATAAGATGACAAGCACTTGCTTGTGCTCGTTGGCAGTCTTGTTGCTGCCAGCAGTATTCATAACACTTTACTGTTGTTAATCATCGTCTGCCTGTGCATATTAATACTTAAAATTAGATATGCCATTAATGCCATGTGTTTCTCGACAAAGTTTCATGTGAGCATCTCCCAGGCTTTCCCAGCTGGAAAGATTTTAGTTTCCACCACGCCATGGTGCTGTCAGTGGGCCACCAGTGCCGGGCTGCCTGGTGCTGTGTCCTGGCTGCTCCACCAGTGCCGGGCTGCCTGGTGCTGTGTCCTGGCTGCCCCACCAGTGCTGCGACTGCGCACATGTGCTCAGAGAAGCTCACATGGACATTGACATCACCTGTATTTGTGGAACTGCCTCATCAGCTGCTGCCGTCTCACATTCCTGGCTGGGAGAGGCACCCGGGCGGCTCGCCATGGTTTACTCCTTTCTCAGAATGTGCAGGGTGAGGGCAAAGCTTGGAGATGCACTTCTCCCATCATGTCATCTATTTACATGGCACATGCCTTGTGTGTGTGTGTGAGACAGTGAGGGCTTTTATTTTTTTCCCCACTGCCCTAGTTCTTCTTTCTGGCTGTGGCAAGATGGAAAGGTGGGACGCTCTCATCTCTGCCAGCAAAAAGGTTTTCTGTATCTGAGGCTGGCTTGGAAATTCTTTAGGTGACATCACACCATGTCTGTGCAGACTCATTGTTTGTCATGGAAAAGCCATTCATCCATACATAACTTCCTTCCTCCCCAGACTCAGGGAGATAAACTTTCCATTCTGTCTATTCCCTATAGAAACAGACCCAAAACATGTATGCGTGGCTATACACACATACACCTCGCCATCCCTCCGTCACGCTCGTGGCTGTGGGAGGAGGAAAAGGGAGGATATAGAAGATGTGAATAAAGTCACCCTGTTTTCTTCAGACATGGATCCCGCTGTGCCCAAGCAGTAAAACTCCCCTCCCACTGAGGTGCTGGGTCACACAAGGCTTTTTTGTCCTGAGGCTAATTCTGGCACTTGCAGCCCCACATCTGCCTGCCAGGTGAGATGGGCCACCAGCTGCAGGTACAGCACATCTGGATGGGGGAGGAAGCGAAGCGTGCTGCAAACAAACACAGCAAGTCCACCGTGGCGGGTGCAAGGAATTCGATAAAAAATATACTTCAGCAGTCTGAGCTGCCGAGGCTGGTGATTCATGTCTCGGGTGCTGCTCGCGAGGCAGACGGCAAGGCTGGGTACTGTACCCCACAGCCTGGGGGGACTCGCACGTCCAGCCTGCCTTTGGGGAGCCGCTGCTGCAGGGGCAGGGCTGGGGGGACAGCAGGCCTGGTGAGGAGGCTGGGGCAGGAGGGGCATTTTTCCGTGGAAGAGAAGTGGGAAGCGTGTGGTGCGGGGTAGGACAGGACAGTGGGAAGCCTTGTAGAGATGGAGGCAGCAGCGGCAGCGTCGATGGTGTGATAAGGTGGCTGTTTCCCTACGACATGAAGGAGGCAGGGTGTGAAGAGCACGTTAGAAGTACCTGCACGGTGCAGGACGCCTGCATTTGCTTTCTGCCGGTGTCCGGGAGAGACAGAGCTGAGGAGCTGCCGGACTGCCCTGCCTTTGAGGTTCGCGGTGATTCCAGTGGGGAAGGGAGAGGGTGTTTGGACAAGAGGCGCCTTTGAAGCTTTTCTCCTGTCCACCTCCCCTGCCCATAAAGCCATTAGCCTTCGGTGCCAGCCCTATCTGCACTCGTCGCTGGCGGCCCGGCCGAGCCTCGCAGACCCCCCGCCCGGAGCACGGGGCCGGGGCTGGCGTGGGGCCCTTCGTGAGGCCGTTTTGGGGAGGGGGCAGCTCATTTCCGAGCCGCCTCTGCATTACAAAGCAGCGGGGCCAGCGCGGCGCTTTGATGTGCCCCGCCGGCTCCCCGCACACCTGCGGCCGCGGGGCTCCCGGCACCGCCGGACCGGGGCGCGCTTCAAAGGCGGCCGAACCGGGGGCTGCGCGGAGGCTCCGGGAGAACCTCCCGACGGCCGCAAGGGCGAGAACAGCCCTGCCGTCTGTGCGCTGCCCCCGGGCCGCACGGGGAGGCTCCGGCGGCGGAGCCCCGGCAGCGCGGCCCCTGCCCCGGGGCCGGGGGCGGGAGGGAGGCAGGGCCGCCGCCGGAGCCCCCGGGAGGCGGCGGCCGGGGGAGGGTCCTGCGGGGTGGGAGGGGGCGGCAGCCGGGCTGAGCTCGCCGCGCCCCCGCCGCACGCAGGCCCCGCTCCAGGGCTTCTCTTCGGCACTTCTCCGCAGGGCGCCCCGTCCCGGCGGCCGGCTCCGCGGGGGCTGCCCCCGCAGCCCACCATGACCGGGCCGAGGCTGGCCCTCGCCGCCGCGCTCCTCTGCAGCTGCACCTCGCCGGTGGCCGACGCCAACTCCTGGTGGTAAGTGAGGGGAGCCGGCGGCGCCTTTGTCCGCCGCGGGCCGGGGACCGGGACCGTCCGAGCCGTGCGGCAAGCTCCTGCCCTGCGTCCTCCGCGGGAACTTCCCTGCCTCCCGAGCTTCTTTCGCAGCAGCTCGCTTCTCTCCGGGTTTTCCCCCCTCCCGCTGTCTCTGCCCAGTTTCGGGAGTGGTGGGACGCAGCCCCTCTCCTCCAGGCATTTCTGGGCTCCTTTTGTACGGGCTCGCTGAAAGGCCGTCCGGGCTTTAGGATGTAGGGAATGCGTAGGGAGTGGATGGGTAAGGTTTCCTACCCGCTGCCAAAAGCCCTGGGAGCAGCCGCGGAGCCCCTTCCCCCGAAGAGCGGAAAATAGCCTGGCTCCAAGGCAGGCATCGCTCGCTGGCGCTGTGTAAAATAGCTGCTGGCTTTCTTCTGCAGGGAAAGTGCTGAGCTTTCTCTCTGCCCCCTCCCCATCCCGGGTGTCCTCTGTGTTTAAACTCGGGTTACAGACGAACAGTGTTACTCCCGCTAGAGCCCTGGAAAAGCCTCGCATCTGGCAGAGCTGTGGAGGGAGGCAGCTGACATGAGAAATGCGCCCGGGCTCCCGGAGCTGGGCTGGGCTGGGCTGGTGGGGAGAGGTGTCGGGCGCTTCGCGGAGCGGGCCTCTCCCTCCACACTCCCTAGGATGTTTTTCTCATCGTAGGTCTTTGGCCATGAACCCCATCCAGAGGCCTGAGATGTACATCATCGGCGCCCAGCCGGTGTGCAGCCAGCTGCCGGGGCTGTCCCCCGGGCAGCGCAAGCTCTGCCAGCTCTACCAGGAGCACATGGTGTTCATCGGGGAAGGGGCCCGCAGCGCCATCAAGGAGTGCCAGTACCAGTTTCGGCAGCGGCGGTGGAACTGCAGCACGGTGGATAACACTTCCGTCTTTGGGAGGGTCATGAAAATAGGTAGGAGCACCTGGAAGTACAGAAGTACACCCAGCACCACAGGGACGCGCCGGGCGCAGGCCACTCCGTGCCTCTGTCCCGTCCTTCAAATGCACACGAAGGAGTGATGAGCCCCATTAGCGCGGCTCCTGAAGCTGCCTTTAACGAGCTTTTGCCATTCCCTGGTGTGCAGGCGCTGCCCGAGTGCTGCCTGCGAGCTGCCTGTGCCTGGCTGGTGGCACCGATGAGCGTCGGCCACAGCAGGAGCCAGCTGGGGCAGCAGGGGGGCGAGGGGGACGCAATTTCTTTTGGGGGGAGCACGGGAAGGTCAGGAAGGGCGGGGGGTTTGGTGTGGTCTGTTTGGTGTGGTTCTTTAAAGGTAATGAGGGAAGAAGCTGGAGGCAGGAACAATAGCCCCGTGTTATCATTTCCAGCATCTCGGACAGGGAATGCAGCCCTGAGATGTGGGAAATATGGAGTCTCCGGGCATGGAAATTCCCCCACTTCCCCGTACTGCCACTTTCTGTGTAAACCTAAGAGATTTTTATAATTCCTGCCCTGCTGGCCCTAAAAGGCACATTGACAGGCCATTGCTGCACTTGAATTGAGGTGTGACCTAGCTACATTGTCCCAGCTCCTTTTGAAATGCAGTCATCTGATGGCAAGAAACTGAGAAATCCGGGCTCGGTTTGATATGTCCGACAGCCAGGCCAATAAAGAAAAGGTGTTAAAACAGCCACACACACACACACACACACACACACACACACACTCCTCACTCTCCACAACCCCTGTCTGAAGGTTTTGTTTCCCACCCACAAAGCCAATCATTTACACAGAAGAATCAGAACTATTTCTCGGTTGTGAACTCGAGGGATGGAAAAAGACCTTCAGCTCCTGTACCCCCAGTATTGCTCACATTGGTTTTGGCTTCACTCTCAAAAAAACTGCATAAGCAGCAGGACACGGAGAGACAATGCATCTTTAATACCTCTGGGGCGTTTGAGAGATAGGGCACAAAGTCCTGTGATCTCTTCTGTTTGATCCTGAAATTCATGTGTCACCCTAGAGAATTCTAGGGATATTTCTGCACGTGTTACTCAATCTTGCAGAATTCCTAATTCAGCACACCAGAGCTATTCTAATTCCTCTCTTTGTGCCCAGCTCATACCCCAACACTTCTTCTCTGGGGTGTTCCCCTGGGAAATGCTGTTTCCTGGAAATACTTCCAGTTCCTGACACACATCCAAGGCATCTGTGCATCCTTGATCTCTCACTTTCTGATAGCAAGGGTGGTGGCCAGATGGGGCTGCATGCAATCCCAGATTGTTAAAACTTGTGCTTTGGGGGATGAAAACTGAAATTTCATGCACTAAAGGACAGAAAATATACCTCCAGCTCTCCTTTCTGATGTCACTCCTTCATGTGTAACTTCTCCTAAATAATGGTGTAAATTTCAAGTCCCCAAAGAAATACTTGTGACTGCACAAGGATGCAATAAAATAGGAATCTCCCCTTCTGGAGCAATCCTCATTCTCTAGTAGCTTCCTGCAACTCTGAGTTATTGCAGTGAGAGGGTCCACACGTGGAGAAGAGAAGTAATGGTGGAGCAGAAGAGAGCAAAGATCAGAGCTGAAGGATGAAAAACTCTGGAAGAATCAGAATGCATAGAGGAAGAAGGATCTAGAGTGGATAGTGGAAGTGGGAGGATTTCTCCTCACTAAAATGAATTTGATCCTATGAGTTAAGATTAGGAGTGGATTTCTTTGTGTTTTGGTGAAGGCAGAGGTGTTGTAGGTGTGTGATGGGTATGGCCACTAGTCCTGCTCCTGCCATTTGGTTTGCGTGTGCATGCATTTTTTGAGTGCTGTTGTATCTGTGGTAGGAATCTGCTGATGGCAGTGTCTGAGGTGGCTGCCTGCAGTTGCCCACTCTTTGCAAACCTATCCCAGCAGAGTTTTGGAACCAGTCTCTGGTCAGTTAGAGCACATTCAGATGTTTATGCTCCAGCACCAGATGGCACAAAAGAAAAATGTCACTAAAGGTGTCCTGGGGTATTCCAGGATCTTTGGTGATTCATGGCTGTTATCTGTGTCAGTGATAAGCTGCTGTGGAGGGAGATGCTGCCTCTTCTCTTTTTTATAGCTTCACCTTCCGCTTTTACATTTTCCTACACTGTAATGAGTCATTGCTTATCATTGCAGCAAATATATTTTCCAGACTGGGGAAGAAGACAAAGCCTTTCAATCTCTTAGGTTATGCCAGATATAAAGTCATTCTTCCCTGGGTTCATACTACACTACATGTGTGTCTGTCTCCTGTTTTCAACCTCTGAGCCCCAAATCTGGACCACAGCCCTTTTTCTGTACTCTGTGCCAATGGCACGAGAAAGGTCTGGAGACCAGAATATCTGCAAGAGTGCACAGACATGCCAGATTGTTGTGGAGAGAGAGAGGAAGGGAGATAAGAAGGACCCAGAAGGTGCATAGTGTGCCAGCAGCCCTTGCTGCCCACCCACCGATGTGAGCATGGCATATATTATGTGATTTCTGGAGCTGCACTGGATTGTGAGAGGGGAGGAGAACCTGACTTGGCCAAAGCCTGGGAGATCCGTGTGGGAGTGTTCACTCAGAAACCTGGAAGATCAGTTTCCTTTCCCCTTCACAGAACTTGACTCTGCTCAGGAACAGGAGAGCTGGTCGGTCTGTGTTTAATCATTACACCTTCATTTTTTGCTTTTCATGAGAGTGAGGCAGTCCAGGGATACAAAGCTTTTGGAGGGGCACCCGTAGCACTGAGGTAGGCTGCTTTGGAACATTGTTTTCTCCTAGTGTGTGTGTTGTTACGAGACTTGCTCTTAGCTTTTAAATGTGGTTTATTCGGTAGCAATATATAATGATGTAAAAAAGTATTCTTCCAAAGTTGCTTCCTGTTCTGTCAATACATATTTTAGACTGCACGTGAGTGTATATATAGCTCTATACATTATATACAGACACATTCCTTACTGCTGCTTTTATGAGGGGGAGAGGACAGAGCACCCCAAAAGGTCATGTTATTATTTCCTCAGGGGAGGAGAGAACATATCGCCTCCAGAGGAATCCTAAATGCAAGGCTGGGGTTTCCAGGTTAGTCCAGTCATTTCTGGAGCCAAAGATCTTATCTCTTCTGCCCTTTCAAATGCTAAAAGGGAAGAAAAAAAAAAGACAGTCATAAAAGCAGAGAACAAAGAGAATTTTTTCCCCCTTGTTTTCCTTCGAGATCTGCATACTTTGGGGTAATGCTTTTAAAAACAATGAGTCGAAACGAAAACGTTTTTATTAAAAAAACTAAAGGGTCACACATTTGTGTCCCCGACGGGGTGCGTTCTTCTCCCATTTCCTTCTCCAGCAGCTCCAGAGAGGCGAGCCCTGGGAGCCGAGCCCTGCCTGGGTGCTGCCGGAGCCGCATCCCCGGCAGTGCCCCGGGAGCGGCCGCAGCCCCGGCAGAGCCCCGGGAGCGGCCGCAGCCCCGGCAGAGCCCCGGGAGCGGCCGCAGCCCCGGCTCCCGGCGGGCAGGCACAGGAGGGCAGCAGAGCTCCGCCGAGCTCCCCGCTGCCGGGCACAGCTCCCGGGGCCCGCAGCCATGTGGGAGAGGCCAGAACCAATTCGGGAATAACACCCCAGTTCTTGGAGACGGCAGCACAGAGGTGCGGAACTGGGCTGAACTTTGAGAGGACGAGGGAAAACCCAAGTACTTTTTCAAGAATTTTTGTGGGCAGCAAGGTGGGGAACGCCACCCTGCTGTGACCTGTTCCAGCCTCTTGTCCCACCACCATCCTCAGCAGCCTGAACAACTCGTGCAGATGCTGGAGCTGCACACTGATTTGTGCTGCTACATCTGACAGGTGGAGACGATTAAAATGTGGGTAGGAAAAGTGTAAATCCCAGTGTCTTTTTAGGGATCTCAGTCAGGCTGTAAGGATGCTAAGCACCTGGAGTCATGCAGTCTCTGTTGCACGAGCTGTCACAGTGTGAGGTCCTTTCCCGTTCATGTATTTTAATCTCTATAGACAGTGAAGTGCTCTCCTTCAGAAGGATGATTGGTATGTCCTCAGAGCTTTCTCCATACAGGTAGAGGCAAAACTGCACATTGGACTGTTACCTTAAAAGACCCATAACATGGAAAACAAACCAGATGAGTAAAAGCTTGATTTTAGTACTGAAGAATTACCCTGACTCCCTTACAGGCCAGTCTCATCTGAGTTGCCTAACTAGGAGTCACTCCTCTGTATCTCTTGGACCAGGGAGGTTTGCTGACAATAGTTCTCTTCTAATGACCTGCGAGTAAAGACCTCCCTTCTGTGTTATGTGGCCTGTAGCATTTTATCAGCTGTGTTCCAGAGCAGAAATCCTTAGTATTCATCTCTCATTTAGGTGTGGTAAAAAATCCAAAGTTTTTCTGCGAGGTGGACGCCATTTACAGCCTTGCCTTTGTCTTGGGTCATTACCACTAAGCTGGTGATAAGCTGCTATTAATTAGGGATTGTCAGCACGTGCAAATTGGAACAAGAGCACACCAAATGCGTCAGCTCAGCCCTGCTGAGGGAGCTGGCACCAAGAGCCTCCTGAGCTGGTGATAAACTATGCTTTGAGGATCTGCCCTTTGAAGTCATCAAAATTTGCTTGAGAGCATCTTGCTGGGGTTTGGTGTAAGTAGCCACTTCACAATTAGATTGCTTATTCTAATGAAGCTTTGGCAGTTGTTCTCTTTATCACCTGCAAGTTTGGTGAGGGGCACAATGGCTCTGAAGGTGTTGGTTCAGCTATTTATTAGCCATGTGGTGAGAGTGCAGGTGTGGATTGCCTCCTTGTCCCTCTCCCTCTCTGCAGACACTCAGCACTCGCGGTGCTTGGCCTCATGCAGTGCTCTGGCTGTGCTGGTGCCCCGGTCAAACTGGGGCTGAATCCCTGCCAGGAATACTGAGCTGGAGAACTGATCCAGCTGCTTGGCTTCGTAGGGCATGCATACCAAGCAGGGCAGTCCCTAGTAAACCTGCTAATGGAAAAGTATTTTCATTTATTATGGTCTACATGGGAGTTTTACTTGTTCCAGCACTGTGGTTCTGCAGGCAGTGGAAGAGCCCCTGCCTTGATGTTGCAGTGTAAAAATGAGTTTCCTTCACTTTGTCTACAAGTAATTTTCAGCTGACATTACGTAAACTAAAGTAAGTCCAATGAAGAGGAGCCCACAAAGACTGCATGTCCCAATTAAATGAAAGCCATTCCAGAACAGTAACTGGCTTAAGCAGAGTACTCCTTTTGCACAGACCCAACCTCGTTACTTGTTCTTAATGGTTATTGGCAAATGCAGTGGCTAAGTCAGCAGCTGTGTTTTCAGCAAGTGGGCAACCCTCCTGCTGGTTGAGAATTTCCTCCAGGTTAGAATGAAAGGATAAGCTAGAGCACAATTGAGGGTTTGGGGACAGGGGAAGGGAACAAGGGAGAAAGGGATCATGGAGAGTAGAAGGAGGACCACAAGATGGGGACCAAGCCATGTGGTGCCCACTATCTTGTGACTCGAGGTGAGGGGGAAGGGAGCAGGGGAGAAAGGAATTACGGGGAGAAGAACCACAAAATGAAGGCAAAGCCATGTGGCACCCTCCATTCTGTGACTCTGGGTGAGATGAGGAATCTAGGGGACAACTTACAGGTTTTTCTGCAGGTAAAAGGGATGAGCTATTAGGGTCTAGGGAAGGAGCTCTGACAGGATAGCCAGTCCTGCCAGAGCCAGAGAGGAACTGGGGGAGATGTGGGGAGCTAGGGAGACCCACAGTGTGGGGGCAGCTGTGCACTTGCTGCAGGTGGTTTGCTCCCCTCAGCTCACTCGGTTCGGGATGCTGGGGATCAGGAGCAAGGGGGACTGGGGCAGGTGTTTCAGGAGAAACTAGGGAAGATTTATTTGGATTTTCTTTCACTTTGTTTTCCATTACTAATGTAATAGTTTTCAATTTTATAAAGAGAGGATAAAAATGAAGGGGAAAGAGGATGAGCAGTCCCTGCCTCTGGAGCTGCTATCCAGAACAGGATGGAACCCTTGCCCTTGACCATCGCGTCCTTTATCTCCAGTAAATTCTGTGCACCTTCTCAGCGCACCCCATGGAGCCCGTTTGTGTGCTCCTGGCCGTGTGTGGCACACAAAGTGAGACCTGTGCGGCGTTAATTTGCTCTCCCCTCACCCCTCTCTCACAGGTAGCCGAGAGACCGCCTTCACCTACGCGGTGAGCGCGGCCGGCGTGGTGAACGCCATCAGCCGCGCGTGCCGCGAGGGCGAGCTGTCCAGCTGCGGCTGCAGCCGCACCGCCCGACCCAAGGACCTGCCCCGGGACTGGCTGTGGGGCGGCTGCGGGGACAACGTGGAGTACGGCTACCGCTTCGCCAAGGAGTTCGTGGACGCCAAGGAGAGGGAGAAGAACTACGTGCGAGGTTCGGAGGAGCAGGCTCGCATGCTGATGAACCTGCAGAACAACGAGGCCGGGCGCAGGGTAAGAGCAGTGCTGGCTCTTTGCTTTTTCTCAGAGGGAGAGTCAGAAGGGTGGGAGTAGCTGGATGTCAGTTTCCTTGGAGGATTGATGGGGGATAATCCAGTGGTGCACCAGGAAAAGCATACAGTCATGTTTTCTGCATTTTTGTGAATATTACAGACAGTGTTGACAGTATTCCAGTTTTAATGTCAGGCTTCCGTTGCCAGCTAAAGCCATTGAATTTTGGGGTCTGTTGAGATACTGTATGGCACACATGTGCAGACATTTAAACCCTTTCCAAATAAACTAGGTGCTGTTATGGCCCATTTTTAAGGTTTATATCTAAGAAATTAGCTTCCCAGAGCTCTGAGAGTAACAGGCTGGTGGTGAAAAGAAGAACCTTCTGGCATGTAGAGTTTGTTTTCTACTCAATGTAGAAATGTAGTGCATTGTTTTCTACTACCATCATTTAGATTTTTGGGAATGTAAGGTCAGGGGCCTGGCTATCTCTGAAACTCAGGCCTTGTTCAGTTATCTTGGCACTGGACACAATAAATAAGTTTGCATTTAGGTGGCAAACATTTTCTGAGAAGATTCACACTTTTGGTCTGAGAACCCCCAGGGATGGAGAATCCATCATTTCCCTTTGTAGTATGATACCAGCATTAATGACTGTTTCAACTCTGAACCTAACTATCATTTGAATTTATCTGACACCGACTTCCAGTCAGTTCTTTTTCTGACTCTTACAGCTAAATCCAAAACCCTCTGGGCAATCAGAATTTCCTTGGCATACAAGTATTTATCTACTGTAATTTATTCACCATTCTTTCTTGACAAACTAGATTGAGCACTGAAGACACTCTTCCTTTCAGAGGTTCTCATCAGCCATCAAATCATTTTCCTGTCACTTTAGTGTACCCTTCCCAATTTTCCCATACCCCTTTTGCATGCATTCAGTGTATGCACTTTTGCTTTTCACACAATTCCTCTGTCTGTGATTAATAGCCTGGAAGGTGTAGCATCACTCATATGCAGTGCAGCTGTGTAATCCTGCCTCTTTCCAAAAGTAGAACAGGAATACTAACTTGAACACTTCTGCATTTTCCCCAGGGTGTTTTAAATTTTTATCATTCTTCCCTAGAAGTAAGCTTTTCAAAGGTTAATTTTATTTCTAATTTTTGTTAAAAAATCCCATTAAGTGTACTTAGTCTTGCTCTTTTGCACATTCCTAACTAATATCCTTAGTTTCCTTATCAATCTTCTGCCCTTTCTTACTTCTAGTTGTTACTGAATTATCTTTCCCTTTCCCTTGGATGTCTGTCTTTTCTGCATGTAATTTCAGCTTCATTTTGACACCAAAGATGATTTGTTCAATTTTTTTTGGTTGTGAAATCAGTGTGTTAGGTTGAAGCATTGCAAGTACTTCATGGCTCTTTTGCAAAACTAAATTGGGGTAAATTTGCAGTGGGTGAAAAACCAGACTTGAAAGCTGAGTTTTGGTTTGGGATTGGGGTTTTTTTTGGCTTGGATGGGCAGAGGCTTTGCATTTGCTTAGGAAATGGGGGGTGTGTGTGGTGGGGTAGTAGCCTGAATGTGACATTCTTTTCTGAGTTACTTGCTTTGGACATCCTACATGTCTGGAGCATGAACTTGCACTACAGATAAATACCCTGCCTGAAGCAAGGAGTGAACATGAGACTCCAACAGCCTTGAGGGGTCCAGAGACAGAGTATGGCCCCTAAGCTGAGATGCCAGGTGAGCTGCAGTAACATAGATTAAATGAACACAAGTCATTTTAGATTAGATTAAATTAAAGGGAAGTATAAACCAGTATGTAATTAAGCTCATGGTTAAAAACAAACAAACCCCCAAAAAATTATTCTAAATAAACTAAGGGAGCTGGTTAATAAGCCCAGCTGAGGAACTGGATGTGGAGGAGGTCTGGAACTTTTTCAAGTCCAAGATGCTAAAGCCATTACAACTCTGCATGCCAACAAGAGAAAAAAGGTTGTAGGAAGAATATCCAGACCTCACTGAATGAATAACTGCTACAGAGAAGCTGTTAGGAATAGATCAAGAGCCTACTAAGAATGGAGGGGAAAAAAAAAATAGCAAATAAATAATGGAAAGCTCTGTCTTAGAGGTCAAGAAGCGTAAAGAGGAGGTGAGAACAGTAAAAATCATGCTGAGTCAGACCTTGAAAAGGCTAATAAAATAAACAGCAAAAGTTTTCTAAGCTTTTCACACTGGAGGAGATTGGAAGAAAGGAGACAGCCAGTGAGGATGGGGCTGAGCCTAAAAGGCAGAGAAGTTTTGGTACCCAAAGTGAGTCAGTGCTTTGCCTGGGGCTTTGAGTTGGGGTGGGGGACACTGGATATCTCAGAGGAAAATAGGAAATAATTTGAGAAGACTTTTTTAAAGCTTGGTCACACAATCATTTAGAACATTACTGATTTTCTAAAAGCAGACTAGATGTGATAGATCACACTTATGTGAACTTCTGTGAAACATTTGAGGTATTTCCTCCATGGGAAATTCCTGGTTAAACTGGAAAATGTAAGGAAATTTGCAGTAGCTGTGAGATGGACAAAAGACTGGTTCAAGGAAAGATGTCAGTAAGTTGTGTGAAAGAATGTAGCTTGATTTTAGTGGAGCTTGATTAGCAGAGCTCATCAAGGACTTGCCCTTAGGATTTTTGTTTCTGAGCCTCAACACAACTGCTAGGAATGGGCTGATGAACTTTGCTGTTGATGCAAAGGTGGCAGTTATTATGACCACAGAGGAGAATCTGAATTTTGTACAGCAGCTAACGACACTCAGTAAAGCAATATAAAGACCATCATTGGAGGCCTTGCATGAAATACATCTTCATCATTAGGAAAAGAGTAGGAAAGAATTGGTCGCAGCAATCGGCTGCAAATGGCTGCAGATGTAATATGGCTTGGAAGGTGGTAAATATCCTGCAACAACCTAGACATAAGTCTTTTTATACAACATGGGGGAATACTAATGCCATATATTAAGCTCTCGTGAGGCCTCAAAGTATTGTGTGTTCTCATATTCCCAAGTAAAATGACCTCAGACTAGAAAAGGCTTGTTAGGGCTGACCCAAGGGATAGGAATCTTTTCTTAAAAAAGTGTGCTAGAGCAGCTTGCCATATTTAGCCTAGTAAAGTGAAAGTGGAGAGAGGATATGACTGATGTCTGTGTTCGTAGGAGAAATAATAGGGAAGGAAAAGTACTTTTTAAGCAAAAGGCCAATTTGGCACAATAGCAAATGGGCATAAAGTAAATGCATGTAGGCTGAAAATCAGAAAAATATATTTTATTGTTGGAATGGCAATCAGAATAATGGTGGCTGAAAACCTAATTGCTTTTAAAAGGGTATCCTATGCATTTAGGGAAAATGTTACTTGAAGCAGTGCCTACAATAGCAAGACATCACACTTTATAACCCAGGAGGTCCTGTCTAGTCCTGCATCCCTAAACTTCTGAGTTACTAGTTTTCTAAGTAGGAAGGTGCATATGTAACTCCTCATTCCCAAAGTTTATGCTGGAGGAAAGGACTGCTGGAGACCCAGCAGTGAGCACTGCAGAGTGACCACCAGCTGCCATCCCACTGCAACCTTGCCCTGCTTTCACAGCCAGGGTTTTTGCTGATACTTTCTGATTTACAGGCAGATTTTTGGCATGTCCATTCACTCAGTTTCCTATGAATGAGAAAGATCTCCTTGAATCCTGAGGAGGTCTGGTGGCAGGAGAGAGGATTGTCTCTTCTCTCTGTGGCTCTCAGAAGGAGCTTGGGGGGGACAGGAGGGAATCAGATGTCTTTTATCTGTCAGGCAGTCCTGACCTCATCACCCCTTCACTCCACATCGTAGTCCTTGTGGTGGTGGCTTCTGGCTTTATTGCTCCTGTTTGTTTGTCTTTGGCTGTTATCTCAATATGTCCTTTCCTTCCATCTGTCTTTTCTTCCAACTGGTCTCCATTAGCCTCTCTTATTGCCCCCCTCCCTTATCTGTGGCTCTGTCTGGCAGGCTGTGGCAGTCAGTCCTCCCACGCTGTTTACCCAGTCAGCACATGGCAGCCCTCAGTCATCAGTCACTCCAGCCACTGCCTGGACAGCCTGGAAGGGGGTCTGGTTAATTGACCACAGGGGAATTACCTATTAATTCTCCTCCTGCTCCCATTCCTGCACAAAGAGAATTGGAAGAGAACTTGGGCTTATGGGAAGGGGCTTTAAGCCCTTCCATCAGAGGCATTTTCAACCTGTTTAAGTGGCATGGCCATCAGTCAGGTCCTGCCCTCAGAACTGCTTGTGGGGTCTGTTATTCTCTACCTTGACCCAAGCCCAGTCAGAGAGGAATTCTCCAATTTCCTCTGCTTTCTCCTCATCTGGGCAGTGAAGGGGGAGAGGGGCAGAGTCATTCAGCAGCTGAAGCTGTGGTTGACCCCACAGGACATGGGTGGTGGGAGCTGTGGGGGGCTGAGTGGCACCGTGCTCACCTGTGATCACTGGTGGCATTCACCTTCCCCAGAACAGCTCCTGCCCACATGGGCCAGATGTTTTGAGCATCAGTTGCCTAAAGCCAAGTCAGAGTGAACACATTCCCATGACATTAACTGAAGGGGATTGAGTTGCAGTGTTTTTCTAAAGGAACAAAGCCCAGGATTAGGAAGAATCATAATACTTTATAAAAACACATGCAAGGGCAAGGGAGGCATGAGAGGCCTGGGATTTAACCAAAAAGAGCTAACACAGGCTTATAACAAGGAGGCTGGCAGTGTAGTGAGGATATAGTAAGTGTCTGCTGCTCAGGAAATTTAGCTGTAGCCTGTCTGGTCATAGTACAGCAGGAATCCTTAAGTAACAGTGTGGTTGGTCCTCTGCAGTTGTAGTTTGATCCAAGACAAGTGCTTAACTCCCAGCTTGTAGCTGTTACATTGCACTATGAGGGATTGCCTTGGTAAATTGAGCTCTGAGGAGCAGAACTAAAGCTTTTCTGTTTTAAGGGCTCACTCCATTGACTTTCTCAGGAGCTGGATTGGCCTCCATGTGATTTAGCCATTAAGCCAAATTGAATCTTCACTAGCTGTCAAAAGCACTAGACATTAGCTAGGCAAGGAGCAACCAGTTGTTGTAGGAGAACTCTGACCTCTCCCTGCTGGTCCAGAACGTTGTTGTAGGCAGAAGGCTTTGCTTGCAGTATGCTCAATTGCCTTAATCATCTTGGCATGTGAAAGCAGAGAGCTGGGAAGCTTTCTTCTGTGTCAGTGAGTGAGGCAAAAAAGAAACCTCTGTGTTTGGCTGCTTTTTTTCAGCAGAAAACCTGGCTGGAAGACACAGCACCATCTCTTTCAGAGCACCCTGTTTTGTTCTCCTTTTCCTTGCTCTCCCCTGCCAGATACAGCTGGTGGTAATTTTGCAGCTGATGCCAAACATCTCTGCTTGGCATGCAGGATCTGGCAAAAGCACTGCAGGATGCAGGATGGTCTTGGGAGAACAGATGTGAGCCTGATGGTGAGAGCATGATGAGCTAGGGCCTGGGGTTAAGCTGCTGTACCACAGAGTAGTTCTGGCTGTGAGGGAATGCCCAGCTCTTGCTTTGCAAGCTCTGTCAGTGCCTGAGAGCTGACAGGAGCTCACATGGCATTGCACTTTTGTACCTGTCTCTGAAATGAATGGGAAGAACAAACCCAAACTGCATTTCATTCTAGTTTCCTTGGTTTTTTATTTCTCAGTATTTCTCTCTCCTCCCACCTAGCGTGGGGAGGAGGAGAGTAAACAGCTTCACATCCTGTGCTCGCTCTGAGGAGGGTTTTATACTCTGAATTTTCAAGACTCTTTGCTAACTTTGATGCTGGGTTTCCAGTGGTGTCATGCATCTGCAGCCCCCGCAGGCTCCTGAAAACGTAGCTGGAAGTGTCTGGGAAAAGCCAGCACGGGAAGCTTGCGTGTGCTGTTGAAATCCTGGCTGTTCTGCCTGGCGACAGCCGTGCTAGTGCAGGGAGCCGGGCACGAGATGGCGCAGGAACGCAGCGAGGGCTCCCGGCTCAGCCCTGGGGAGCACCTCGAGCTGCTTCCAGGGAGATGTGTCCGTCTGTGCACCACCAGCCCTGCCTGCCTCTCTCTGCACACTGCCCCTGGACGAGCTCCTCCCGCGGCAGATGATGGGAAAGGGTGTGGGTGCATGGATTTGTTTCCAAAGGATGCAGATGTACCCCTGTAACGATAGCGTCGGTTCCTGGTGTGGGTAGTAGGAAATGGGCTGGATCCCAGGTGTTCCCTTTCTGCAGCACCGAATGGGAAAAACATGGCAAGCCGTGGAGGTCCGTGAGGTGGGGAATTTCCAGAGTCCACGCAAAGAGGGCTCCTTCTCTTTTTCTCCTGCTCTTGACCCTGCTCTCAAGCCAGAAATCTGCCAGAGGGAAAGAAGGTGGGGTGAGGAAGTCGTGTTTGCAGGCGGTGTGACCAGAAATAGAAATTCTTAGGGAGCAGGAACACAGCAGTCGCAACAGGGGGAGGAGAAGACCTTTGTCTCCTCTGAAGGGCGAAACAACAGAAATTGCGGGATAATCAAAGCAGTTCTGAGAGCGCGATGAATTCGTTGTAATTGAGCCAGCTGCCAGTGCAGCAGGAATAAACACAGCTCTGCCTGATTGCATTTCTTTTCCCACAGGCCGTGTACAAGCTGGCAGACGTGGCCTGCAAGTGCCACGGCGTGTCGGGCTCGTGCAGCCTCAAGACCTGCTGGCTGCAGCTGGCCGACTTCCGCAAGGTGGGCGACCTGCTGAAGGAGAAGTACGACAGCGCCGCCGCCATGAGGATCAGCCGCAAGGGCAAGCTGGAGCTGGTGAACAACCGCTTCAACATGCCCACCCAGGAGGACCTGGTCTACGTGGACCCCAGCCCGGACTATTGCCTCCGCAACGAGACCACGGGCTCGCTGGGCACGCAGGGCCGGCTGTGCAACAAGACCTCGGAGGGCATGGATGGCTGCGAGCTGATGTGCTGCGGACGGGGCTACGACCAGTTCAAGAGCGTGCAGGTGGAGCGCTGCCACTGCAAGTTCCACTGGTGCTGTTATGTCAAGTGTAAAAAGTGCACAGAGATCGTTGACCAGTATGTCTGTAAATGAAAGGAGCTGCCAAAGCAACAAATCTATATTATATAAATCTATATAAATATATTTTATATTTGTATAAATAAACAGATTATAATAATTAAAGAAGCTTATTTAAGAGACATTTTGGTTTTGAAATTTCCCCCTCCCCAGTCAGGCCAGCTAATTTGACATTCCTTCAGTTCTGCCGAGGATTTGGTCTTTGCACGCATCTCCAGTCAGGGTGAAGAAGCTGAGGAGGTGCTGGCAAAGCACACCAGCATGTGCTCTTTCATGACAGAAAGAAAGCCAGTGAGAAGAGGAGGAGTGGGTTCTTACTTCCCTCTGATCAGTAAGTCTCAGCATTTTGCAACAGTTACTGCACATTGGAAATTACAGCCAGTCATGGGTGAGTCCTAGTTATTCAGATTTCAAATCCTGCACTGGGAAATTAGGGATTTTGGTCCCTCTAAAGGGCTTTGTCACATTGGAGGGAAGGTTAGCTAAGGCTACGTGAGTATGGCTTAAAATCCACAGTCTTGTAAACCATTCCTGGATGCTCCCCAGACCACAGTGGGGTAGAGGAAAGTTCACAGCCTGCTGTTGTGAGGAAAGAAGGTTCAACCTGTGGCTGACCAGTGCACAGCCTGGGAGTGCCCGTGAAGCCAGCACCTGGCTCTTCTTTACCACCTGGGCCGAGGGAAATCTGCCCAGCTCAAACCACATGGCTGTGTGTGTGAGGGATCTTTTTTTTCTTTTCCTTTAAATCCCATGCTGATACTTCATTTTTCAATAGAGGGGAAAAGCTTCTGGTGCCAGGGGTGTTTGCAGAGTATATTTTGTCAGTGGAAAGAAGTGTTGCACACACACCCATGCTCATAGCTGCACTCATCCTGCTGCCAGTTCTCCTCTCTGAAGTGGCTGCAGGTGGTCACCTTGTTCAGCTCTATTAAATCCTCCTCACCACCAGCCCAGTTGTATAGTTTCTCTTTAACATTAAATGCCCCTCAATGACATTTCTTTCCCTCTGTTACTTGTGTATACGTCTGTTTTGTTTTATTCTTTTGGTGAGGTGCTTTTCTTGTGCTGCTCTGTGTTTCAGAGGGCAGGGGCCGTGCTCTTCCCTGGCATGAGCTAACCACAGGAACGTTTGCTCCCAGGGTGTGGGTGTGTGTTCACTGTGAAAGTCTTCTCTGTGTTTTTCCTTGGCAATAAAACTGTGCCAGGGCAGAAGGCATTACCAAAGTCTGCTAATCAGTCTTACCACATTGGGATTTTAGTACAATCCAATTCATAAAGCAGGGAGCAAATGCTGCTTCTAGCACAAGACATTTCCTGTACCTCTCAGCATCTGCAGAGTTCATTTGCAGTCAGAACAATCAAGAGAAGCCAATTCCCAAAATATAAGGGTTTGCTAATATACATCCGCTTTGTTACTGACACCGCAAGGGTGTTGGGTTTTTTTCCCCTGTAAATTTTAAAATGCTTAAAATATGCCAATAAGCAATGAGCCTGTCATGAAGATTATTATTTTTATATTAAACCTCTGTTTCTTATAAAACATTACAGTTTTACAGATTCCACCATTTCAACCACCAGAGAGCAATTTATATGTACCTTTCATATTTCAAATATTTGAGGACTCCAGAAAAGCACAAGGAAGAGAAATTATGCTTAATAATTAGGAGCTGTTGTTTTTTTAAACCAATGTGTCCAGTTTTTATTTTTTTTTTTTTTTTAATCCAACAGGCAATATATTTGCTGGCATCCCAGAATGCAGTTTTTTGGAATATAAACAGTGGTCTAGATTTACTTTATTATATAAAATCCAAAGCCAGTGGTATTGTAATTCAAAGTAACGGAAATAGTTTTCCATGCATGGAAAAAATGTGAGTGCAGTGGCCTGATCCAACTTCCATTAAACTTCAGTGGGAGTTGGACTGAGCCCAAGATGGGATCAAATGTGTGAGCTATTCACTCCTGGGATACTCTGTTTCTAGCCCAGTAATAAAATTTGCTCTACCTTGGATACATCTGAAAAAGACCTTTCCTCCCACCACCCTCACCTCCTGTTCTTGTCCATCCTTCTTGCATCAGTGCTTGAAGGTGTCAGCTCTTTGTATATGACACCCTCAGGCATTGTTAATGTGTCTAGTAGTTCAAAACTACTTCATCTGGCCTTTCTGATAAAGACCACACATTTTAGGGAGTCACAACTCTCCTTGCGGTTTGGCACCACAATTAATTTTGTGGGTGTAAACAACTCTGGGAGCGGAAAAGTTGGCATTGTTAGGGCTGCTATTCATCTGGGTGTCGCTGGATATGTCCTTCTTTTTCCACCTAAAATGTTGTCTGGATGGAAAAAAATATGTTTTTTGGCCTTTTGTTCCAGCATTCCAGACCTCTGGCAGGCTGGTTGGAGCCAGCAGTTCCTATTGGACTGGGACCATATAGCGATAGGAGAGAAGTGACCATTAGATTTCTTTCCTTCCTCTTTTTTTTCACAAGACCCAGGTTTTAGTATTTCAGATTTTCTGGGAATTTTGTATCCAAAAATTTGATCGCACTAAACTTTAGGTTCAAACTTAATTTCAATGGCACTTGCACGTAAAAGAACCTCCATAGGGTGTTAGTAAGTATAAAATAAGAGCACAGCCAGACTGGCTTAATGCAAATCCAAAGGAAGTCAAACAGAAAACTGCAGCAGAACTGCTTCTCTCCCATGGAAGATAAAAAGTGGTGGAATTTAAGTTGTGCCTTGTTTGATGCACAAAGTGATAGAAAGGGGTGTGATGGGGCTGGGAGCTAAACTTAATTCTGAACTCTGCTGATAATCTGCTTTGTAATTTTCACATAGTTGCTTAATTTCTTTGCATTTTAGCCTCCAGCCTCCTGTATAAATCAAGGAGCAGGATACTTCATTTTTCTGTAAAGATCTCTTTCACATAGTTGCTTAATTTCTTTGCATTTTAGCCTCCAGCCTCCTTCTGTATAAATCAAGGAGCAGGACACCTCCGTTTTCTGTAAAGATCTTTGAGAAATATGGCTGAGAAGAAGTTTAATTGAAGGCTGAGGTTCTCTGCTCATAAACTCTGGCAGGCAGGCAGCTGTATCCTCATGGTGTGGGGACACAGTTTGGCACAGAGAGGCTCAGCAGCACCTTGCAGGGTCAGAGGAGGTTGCTGGGGGGCTCAGCAGGAGCCTAGGAGGGTCTGCAGCAGCAAAGCATTACTCTGGCACAATGCTGGAGGCAGGACTGTGCTGCAAAAGAGAGGTCAACTCAGGGCTTGTTTATTTCTGGCTATTGAAGATCTTGCAGCTAAAGTAAGGCTTAGGGAGGTCAGCCTGGTTTCTGCCTGCTCAAATTCTGTTTGCAGTTTCATATGGATAAGATACTCACACAGTACACTATTATGTACTGTGGTCTGGTAACTGGCTGCCACATTCCAGCCCTGAAGTTGCTGCACTTCAAGGCTGATAGAAATGGCCACCCTTAAGTAATGTAAAACTACAATATTTTGGGCTTAAAGGCACTGTGCAAATATACTGTTACTGCAAGGCAGTGAACATGGGCTCCTAAACGGAGCAGAACAGGATGCAAATCTGTCATCATTTTCCAGCTGGCAACTACTGCCTAAGTTAGAGTGGGAATGAATGAGGCCTCAGTGTGCTCTGCTGCAAGGTAAGCTGAGCAATAGCTGATCCCAGAACAGAAACTTTCAGTTGATATTAATCATCTTACAAAGAAGGTTGTGAGAGGTTTGTGAGAAAATTTAAATGAACCTTTTAACACTGCTGAACTTCAGGCCACTTGCACCATTTGGAGGCTCCCATTCTTTGTCCCCAAAAAGTCTGTGCCTGCTCAGAGCTCAGTGTAGCAGAGTGGCCTTTTGCAATTCAGGAAACTGCCACGTTGAATCCAGACATGCAGCACTGGTGTAACTTGTACTTTCTGTATGGACCAAAGTTTGTTTCCTATGGACCCTGAGAAAGCAGAAATGAAGCAGATCTTGTTCAGTCATATGAACTCAAACATGCAAGAGTCTCTCTCTGTGCACTTGACCCCCTCCAGGGAGAACCCTAGTAGGTTTAAATTACACTGTGGGAGCAATTCCTCATCACCTGTGGCTACAGAAATATAGACAGTATTTTCATCTGCTGACACAGCCACAGAACATCCCAAGGAGACCTTGGGAAATACCTTCCAGCAACTACAGGGCATTTCTCAAGTGTCTGTCACAAGGCTATTCCAGAATCAGCTGCTTATATGGTCATTAACTTTCATTTAGCTTTTGTTTAACTCTATTTCAGGTTAAATAGTTTCTAGCAGATACTCTGTGAAGTGAAATTCACTGAAGGGCAGGCTGTGAAGGAACTGTCATAGGACAGACACACAGCAGATGTGAACTTAATGTTAGATCCCCTTCTTCTCACAGGCAGACTCTGGCTATGTCTAATCCCTGGGACACAGAGATTCATCCCATCTCCTTGGTGCAGAAGTGTATCCTGGCCAGATTCTAACTCCCTGGCACCAACACCCTGTGTGCAAAGGCTTGTGGATGCAGAGACTGTCGAGCCTGTCCCAGCTCCAGGCTTTGGGACTGGGCCACCTCCTGAGCATACCAGCTCTGAAGTCTAAATATAACCAGCTCAAAGATAAGCAAAGGTTAAATTTCTGTGCCCAACAGAACACGTACCAGAAAGGACAAAAAAAATCATGATCAGCAGTTGTAAATCCCTAAATAACAAAAATAAACCCCACAGTTATGATATAATGATCACAGCACACTCACGTGTTCCATCCATCAGTCTTCTGCAGGACCTGAAGCTGTTACTAAAATCTCTTCTTTCTTAGCTCTGTTGAAATGACAGTTGAATTTTTGTTTTTGTTTTTGTTTTTGCATTAGAATTCAAAATGGTATGACCTACATGATAGCATTTCCTCGAAGATAGAGAGAAAGGGGGAGCAAACAGGGTCAGGAGTTCTCCCTGTGAGCAGTAATAAAAAGCAATAGCCATAAAAAGAACTACTAAATACTGCCTTGTGACACTCGAGTTGGACACCTGCCCTAATGTCACAGTTACCTCTCCATGTTACCCACCCATTGCAAGCTGGCTCTGATGCCCCC